CAGGTAACATAGAACTGTTCATTTAAAAGCAGTCGTCTGTTAAGTCAACTCCTGCCACCTTCCACGAAAGTGATGGCCTCTCTACTTCTGTTCCTGGATTGTTTTGTTGTTCCTGGACTGTGTTGTTATGAGCATCTCAGGGTGATCTCACTGGTACTTGGCCTGCACAGCCCAGTGCTCCACAGGAGTACTATGTGCAAATGACTTTGCCGCATTCCTAAATTGCTTCCTCCTTGTAGCGTTGGTATATCTGGTTCGACTTTTGCCAGGAGCTTGTTTCAACCCCACTTAGCTGGATGGCTCTGAAGATTCACAGACATCCTCTCATTATCCACAGGGTATGAAATAACTGCATATGAACAAGAAGGTTCCATTTACACTCGATGAATGCATGAACTGAGAGTCTTGACTGTTAATACAATTGTACCCATATTTCATTTTCTAGACATGGCATCTTAACAATTCTCCGGACCACATGTGTGCAACAAGAAAATCCCTCACAAACAGAACAAACAAAAAACAGAAACTTGATACAATCACCCATGCACCCATAAAATCATATCAAGGTTGGTTATTGGGAGAGTTTTATGAGTGCCCACAGAGGTACTCTGGGGACAGAGAAGAAGGAAGGAATTTGGAGGAGCTGAAAGCTTCAGGGAATGGTGCAAGATCCAGTTCCAGAATTAAATTTAGGAGATTCTGCTAGGTAAACTAAGGGAAATGCAGACAGGAAAAAAAGTCTGGAATAAAAAATGGAATCAGGGAAATCCACTCATCTCTATATACAAGACTTTAGAATAAGGTCACATTTCTGATCAATATCCACATTGTCCTTTTATTATGCTTAGTCATTGGATTTTTTTCCATGTATGAGTAGCACGACTTCCTCCGACAGCCTGATATTAAAAATGGCAATTAATGAATACACAAAGTTCTATCATAGAAACTAAAGGATGCTTCATTTGTGTTAACCACACTCATTACTGGAAATTTTGAAGAAGTGAGCGAAAATGTGTATCTTCCACTGTTTGCCTAAACTCAGAAACAAGGTTTGTAATTTACTCTGATCCCATCCATCTTCACAGAACCGCGGTCAAGATCAGGAAGGAGGGAAAATAACCACCAACCTGCCAAGCAACCCCTTTGTATTTTAACTACCAGATTCTATAGCCTTAGACCCATCTTCTAACCAATGAGGAGGAAGCACATTTGCATGGCAAGCTGTGGAGGGGCTTAAGAGAGAACAAGGGGCCTCCAAGAGCAATCAAAGCCTCCCATTCTGCTGGAAAGCAAATTGGCTTGGGCTTTCTCCACCATGGCTTGGATTCTGCTGCTGCTCTTGAAGGTCCTCGCCTGCTTCTCAGGTAAAGGGAAAGGCTGCCTCATTCTTCTGTGTGGTAAATGATACCTGACATTATGATGCTTTCAAGACTTTGAAGAGCATTGTCTTGTTGAGATCCTTTCGAGAACTCTGCAAGCAAGGGTAAAATCAGAAGATATGCATATAATTGCAGATATATCACCCTAGTGAGTTCCTGGAAGAGGCAAGAATCGCAGCTCCATTTCTTACACACCAAACCACACCATCTTTTATTCATTCATATTTCATTTTTAAAATGTTCTTTCTTTATTTTAGGGGCCCTGTCTGATCTGACCCTGTCTCAGCCACCTTCCCTTTCGGCCTCCCTGAAAGGCACTGCTGAACTTCCCTGTAATATCAGTAAAAACTTCCACTTTGGATATTCTGTTTGGTATCAGCATAAGCACGGGACGAGCCCCATGTTCCTCCTACGCTACAACACGACTTCCGGCAAGACGATCTTTGGTTCTGAAGTCTCCGATCGTTTCTCTGTTTCCACGGATGCCCCAAAACAAGTTGCTTACTTAAATATCAAAAATGTGCAGTCAAAAGATGAAGCTGACTATTACTGCGGCAGTTGGGGTGGGACTGCTTAGCACAGTGAGACAACCAGACGAAGATCTGAAACAAAAACTTCTAAAACCAGCTTCTCATGTTTTGCTGTTGCATGGCTGACAAGTCCCCTGGACATAAGGGCTCTCAGCCACACACATAGTAAATGGATCCTCTTTGAGCAGTCTTCAAGTGATGCCTGGAAGTGAGGAGGGGGGCGGTAAAGTTCAGCCTGGTCTCCTGCTGTGGGATTCAATGTAACACTGCAGTGGTCTTTATGGCTTTCAGCAACTCCAGGATGTATTGTCATGGTATAACCATACTAGCCAGTAGGTGGTGGCATTGCACAGCTGAGAGTTTAGGCAGTTCTTCATGGATTCTAGTTGGTATATGTGCTGGGATAACTATTTAACTGATAGAACAAAGTCAGAGGCCAATGCACCTTTAAGATCAACAAAGTTTTATTCAGCGTAGAAGACAGCAGCTCGGAGGGAGAGCTGAAGGATGAGGAACCCAAAGGAGCGACTGCTTTGAAGTACAACTTAAAAGATAAGAGAAGCAAAGACCCCAGACCCGAGAAACTTTTCTACTTGTTGGATTACACTTTGAAAAAGAAATTAACTCCCAGAAGGACACTACTAACATATTAATTGCCTGGTGAACAGAGATGGAAGAAGAGAAGAACGCCGGCCTACAGAAGCAGTGATTGACTCTAATTCTTATCATGAAAAGATTAATATACTAATATATTAACACCACTCACTCTTTACTTTATCCATCTATATACCCTCCCTCTTTCTTGACCTTAAGCGAAATATCTCTCCTCTTTAGGAGAGGGAATAAAGCTATTAATTAAAAAAACAAAGTTTTATTCAAGGTATGAGCACACTTTGTCAGACGATGAAATGGGATTACATATCATAGTTGTATATATACCTCCTATAGGAGGTAACCTATAGAAATACCTCCTATATATACAGCTATGATTCCTATGGGAATACCTCCTATATATACAGCTATGACATGTAATTCCATTTCATCATCTGACGAAGTATGCATGCACATGAGAGCTCACAGATTGGTCTTAAAGGTGCATTGGACTCTAACTTTGATCTGTTGCTTCAGATCAACACGGCTACACACCTTGATCTATTTAACTGATGTAACTGTGTTCAGAAGTGTGTCACAGTATTTCATGTGCATTGTACACCATCTTTATAGGTGAAATGCAAATAGGGATGTCTGTTCTGTCAATGTACAGATGCTGCCAAAAATACAACCCACCGCACACAAACAAACTCACACGCATGCACACGTGTACACACACACACACACACACAGAGGAATTTGGCAGCATTTTTGGTTGCTATAGCAGCTAGGGTTGCCAATAGGCCTGGACAAAATGTCCCATTCCTTGAATAGAAGCTTAAAATGGATTATGTTCAGCTACCTCTTTCCACACTCTAAGCTTCTTTTAAAGGGGCAGAGCCTTTGACTCCAGGCCTCTTGACAGCTCTACCACCAAACTAAAGTTGTGAATATGTAACTCCGAGTCCACTGGGGGTGGGGGCTAAAGAGTTGAGGCATTCCTTATAAGGAAAAAAGACACACTTCCCAGAGTGATTGGAGGGCCTGAAGGTGCAGGCAGAAGCACTCTTACCTCAGAAGAACTCCTTTCGATAGAACTACATACTAGTATTCTAGGGCTACCAAAACTCCTGAGAAAGAACAGAGGATGCCCCAATGCAGAGCAGGGCTGCAAGCTGATGTATCCTTAAGAGACTGGCTGGAAAGAAGTCAGAAAGACTGAGAGCCTGGTCTGCCAAATGCAGCAGGCCTGAATTAGAATCATAGAGTTGGAAGGGACCTACAGGGCCTAGGGTTATCAGCCTCCAGGTGGGGTCTGGAGATCTCCCGCTTTTACAACTGATGTCCGGCTGAAACAGATCAGTTCCCCTGGAGAAAATGGCTGCTTTGAAGGGTGGACTCTATGGCATGGTACCCTTCCGAGGCCCCTCCCCTCCCCAAACCCTGCCCTCTCCCGGATCCACCCCCAAAGTCACCAGGTATTTTCCAACCCAGATATGGGTTTCCACCCCAGATATTTCTCACACACACACACACACACACACACACACACACACACACACACACACACACACAGTGATCTCAGGATAAGAGTTGCTTCCTGACCCCAAAGTAGAGATCAGCATTTCTCTAGGTGTGTAAGAAAGGGCCACAAGAACGAAGCACTGATGCAACCCTTCCTGCCATCCCCCTCATGATCTGCCTAAGTTCACACCATCAGTGTTGCTGTCAGATGGCCATCTAGCCTCTGCTTAAAAACCTCCAAAGAAGGAGAGCCTTGATGGAGCTCTTCATTTTTCCTGGCGATTCAACAAGAGGAACAACTGAATTATTCCTTATGCTGAAGGAGGTCAAGGCTTTGAGCTGGGGAGGGGCGGTATTCTGGGCCTTACCCCTTCTGTCAGCCTCAACTGACAGCCTCAACCTGTAGGTACACCTTGTCATCCCCATTACCCTTAATTCCTGGCCCCACTGATCTCATCTCCACAGCTGTCCTCTTGGCATGGCCCAACACAATTACACTGGCGTGGCATGAAGGGTTGATTCTGGTCCTCATACTTACATGATCCCATCTCAATCCAACTCATGAATCATGACAGAAGCACACATTGACCATGTATGTCATGGTAATGGGCTTGCAGCCTGGGTGGACCTCCTGATGGCACTGGTATTTCTGGCCACTGTGTGACACAGAGTGTTGGACTGGATGGGCCTTTGGCCTGATCCAACATTGGCGTCTCTTATGTTCTTATGTTCTTATGTGAAGTGAACATAGGCCTTCCTCTCTCTGTCTCCCCCGCCCCCCAGTTTGGGTCCTGCCTTCTGAGAGGCAAAGAGCAGGGCTGAGTGGCAGAGTGTGGATGGTGCGGAAAGATGAGAGGGGGATGATTTGGGGAAGGGAAATGATTTGAATAAAGGGCAGAGTCAGAAGTACTGTCGCATAGTTTTAAGAGAGAGAATGGGAGGCTCTGAGCCAGAAAGTCCAACTCCTTCAGGAAAAAAAGACTCACTTATTTCACTCATCATGGTTTTGGCTTCCCTTCTCCTCCCACTGATCACTTATTTCTCAGGTATTGTAAAGGAAAGTGACTTTGCCTCAGTACCTCATCCCATAGATGTTTTGTTGATTTCTATTTCCTTCTTTCTTCTGCAGGTTCCTTTGCACAGACGGAGGCGCTGAGGCAGCCACCGTCAGTCTCTGTCTCTCTGGAAAAAAATGCCCAAGTCACCTGTTCAGGGGACCTCATCGCTGAGGAAGATGTGAACTGGTACCAGCAGAAACCAGGCATGGCCCCAGTACTCATTATATACTGGGATGGCAACAGACCCTCAGGGATCTCAGACCGATTCTCGGGCTCCAAATCTGGCAACACGGCCACATTAAGCATCTCAAGGGCCAAAGTGGAGGATGAGGCGGATTATTACTGCCAGGTGTGGGACAGCAGTGCAGAGCAGCACACAGTGATTCAGCCAGGGGAGGAAGCAAGACAAAAACCTCTCGCTATGAAAAGTAGTTGCTCGCCACCTGTACCGTTGTGACATGAGGAAGCTCATCTGTGGAGCTGAATGTGCATGAAAGAATGGTGATTCATATCAGTGAGAATACTGATTCCTCTCTCAACTCTGAATTATTGCCTTTTGCACATGTTGGTTTATGTGTGTCATACACTGGCAACTCACCTCTGACTTATAGTGACCCTATTGACTCTGTGGATCATATTTTGCTTGATTGTCCCAAATGTTCACCTCTAAGAGATGAACTAATCTCCCCTATATTTAATCAGGACTTCCTCTCTCCAGAAGCAAAATCATCCTGGTTACTTAGAGATGAAGAAAAACAAATTACTCTGTGTGTGGCAAAATTTCTAGCAGCTGTTGTCAAATCACATGACAACTTTTGCAGTAGTAACCTTTAAATTCTTCCATGTTTTCCTGTGGAATGAGGTTTATTGTGGGATGAGGGTTTGGTGTTTATGACTCCGGTTGCAAAAACAGTAAAGAATAATAGATAGATAGATAGATAGATAGATAGATAGATAGATAGATAGATGACAGACAGACAGATAGATAGATAAATAGATAGATAGATAGATAGATAGATACCCTATGAATTAATGTCCTCCATGATTACAGCCTTGGTCAGCTCTTGCCAACTGAGGGCTATGGCTTCCTTCATTTACAAAACTCGAAAAGGAAGTTAGGTGAGGAAGGTTCATTGCACTAGTGAACTGAGCATATATAGGCAACCAAACTTGAAAGTGGGGCATGGGGTTCTGAAATCACAGCTGCTTTCTTCAGTCTACACTACAGAGACCAGTGTCTCTTGAGGAAAGGCAGCTCAGGCCCCTGCCACACGGCAGGGAAACCACGAGGCAAAAGCGCGGCTAATAGAGCCGCTCCAACGTTGAGACGCTGCGGCGGGATCCCACGGATCCCCTGGCCGCAGCGCCTCTTCTCCCCGGCAAGAGCAGACGCCGGGGAGGACGAGCCCGATGGGAGGGGGAGGCTGCCGAACTGTTTTTGCAGCGGGGTATCGCCATTTGGGCCGGATCAGGGACGGAGACGGCACGCTCCCCAGATGTTGAGGTGGGATCGCGTCCGTTTGCTCCGCCCCTGTTCCGTCCCGCTCCCGTCCCAAATGGGCTCGTACGAACGGGGCCTCAGTATACCATACAGTAGAAATGGAAGTCAGAGACTGACGTCCCTGCTGAGCTCCTTTGGCGCCCCAAATTTCACCTTTGCCAAACAACTTGACTGTCTTTAAAAATAAAAGATTCAGTATTGAAAATAGAGAGGAATGTAATTTCATAAAAGTTTTGGGCCAATCAAAAAACAAAAGTATTTTGCTCAGAAGTAATATTTCCTGGCCTAGAAGCCCTGCCTCACAGTCCCACTGACAGATTCAGAGGGCTGGTAGTACTCCACAGTCAAGGGAATACACTCTTCCTATGCTATGATGGGCACTCCATTAGGTCCTTCACATCTTCTGATTATGAACTATGGTACTGGATATGAATTTGGCATTTATTGGTAGGACTGTGGAAAAATGCATTCCGTTTTCATGTCATTTTTCTGAGTCAGATTTGCAGCAACAGAAAATGAAACTAACAATATTCCAGAATTAATCCACAGCCTGTCCCACTGATGACACATTTCTGGGCATAACTTTCTCCACACTGAATTGCATGAATTTCTCCAGGAGGAGATAGCACTCTGCTTTGTAGGCAGTTAAAGTGAGAGTTTGGAACAGTCCTTTGAATGAATTTCTCCCTTCTTTGCCAAGGCCCACAATGGTCTGTTGTTCCCTTGGAAGCAAGGAGGAATTATTTGTGGAGAGGTGGAGTTGCCAACCTCCAGGTGGTGGCTGGAGATCTCCTGGGATTACAACTAATCTCCAGGTAACTCTATGGCAGGGGTGTCAAACATGCAACCCACAGGCCAGATCCGCCCCCTGCAGGGCTCCTATCTGGCCCTTGAGCAACTGGCTATCTCCTGCTGCCTTCTCCAGTTCTTCTACTGCTGCATTGTTGCGTGTTTTGCCAGACTCTGTCAACCATATAGGAGAGATAGATAGGCAAGCCTCTGTTCTCTGCATTGGTTGAGGTTCCTCCCCCTCCTCCTTCTAAGGGGAGGGAGGGAATGAACCAAAGCTTGCTTTCTGGCCAGGCTCCCTCAGTCACATAGGAGACAAAGGCAAGCCTTTCTTCCCTTCTATTGGCTGAGACTCCTCCCCTTCCTCTCCTTTGCTCAACTGCCTCAATCACACAGGAGACATACAAAGCACCTTTAAGACCAACAAAGTTTTATTCAAAGTATGAGCTTTTGTGTGCCTTGCTACAGTGTATGTGGGCTCATTATGCTGTGGCTCTACTGGATGCAACTGGGTTTGCCTCCCCTTTGTCACTGTATTCATGCCCTCATGATCCAGTCTTTCTCAGTAGGAAAGCAACGTGAACTATTTAGCTGAGGAATAACAACAAGCCAGTGAGGTGGATTAGGCTGAGAGTGTGTGTCCAGACCAAGTTCACCCAATGGATTTCCTTTGTAGACTGAGGATTTTGAACCTAGACTTCCCAGATAGCTGGCTGATACTGACCACTGTACATGGCTGTCTCTCTGTTCTTGCACTGCCTCATAGGAGTTGCAGTTATTTTTCTGGGAAGACTGTAGTTTTGTAGAAAAACACATCACCCTCACTCTGTGTCATGATGTCCTCACATGTTCTTGACCAGCACATGAAACAATTTATGTAGAAAATCTCACAATGCCCAGCCATTTCATGTTTTCCCCTGGGTCCTAGGCTCAGAGCTCTGACCATGAGATTTCTGAAATGAATGTCAATAAATCAAAAGTAGGTTTGCAGTTTCTTTCTTTGATTTTTATCCTGCCCTCCCTGCTGGATACAGATACCCACCTGAACAGCATACTCAAGATTGCTACAGCACAGACATTTTGATACAGTAATTCAGAGCAAGAGGTGTCAGTTATCAGAGACTTTTCAATAAATAAAATATTGCAAGAATGTTAATGTTCTAGGTATGTTTTTATTTTAAGTCTTTAATTGGGTTTGCTTGTGTCCTTTATAAAGTTTATATCTCCACTACCTGGCATTACATTTTATGACACACAGGGCCTGGCCCAACAAGGTCTCATTTATGTCAGATCCGGCCCTCATAACAACTGAGTTCGGACACCCCTTCTCTATGGCATTATACCCCACTGAAGTTTGTCCCATCCCCAAATCTCGCCCTTCCCAGGCTCCACCCCCAAAATCTACAGGAATTTGCCAATGGGGACCTGGCAACCCTAGTGGAGAAGTCATGTATAAACTGTGTTGCTTGCAGGCAGGCAACTGGGCCAGGTTTCCCTGATCGCCTTCTGCCTCATGATTCTGTGCACAAACAGTGTGAATATGTCACCACTACATGTTTCACTCAGCTCCAAGAGGACAATTCTAGACGTTTCTGGGTTCCACACAGAAAGGGCTAAATATAAGTTCATCTTCCAGCCTTTGGTTGGAACCTGATTTTAATCAGCATAAATAAAGCCTACTCCTTGACGTCTTACATGTGTCCTTTAAAGTGTGGGTGGGACAAAGAAGATGGTTCTGGTATTTGAAGGGGAATGATTTGAATGGAGGGGATATTTGCATAGTGAAGGAATATTAAAAGGAAATAGGAGGGTTTCAACCCAAACACCTGTGGCTTCAGCAAGGAGAGTTCCTCTGGTTTTTCCACTATGCAGTGGGCAACGCTCCTCCTCACGTTCCTCACTCATTGCTCAGGTACAGCAAAGGAAAGTTTCGCCACAGCTTGAAAATAACTCTGATAAAAATTTCATTTTAAAGGAGATGCTTTCGTCTCTTTTCAGGTTCCTTTGCCCAGTACGTGTTGACCCAACCACCATCCGTGTCTGTGTCTCTGGAACAAAATGCCCAGATCACTTGTTCAGGGAACAAATCAATCCATAGTCCTTGTCATTGATACCATGTCTCTGGGCGTAACTTTCTTCACACTTAATTGCATGAAATTCTCCAGTAGGAGACAGCACCCTGCTTTATAGGCAGTTAGAATTCTCAGTTGGAAGCTGGGGGCTGAAAGGGCCCTTGGAGTGAATTTCTCCCTTTTTTCCCAGGCCCCACAAAGGCCTGTTGTTTACTTGGGAGCAACAAGGAATTATCTGTGGAGAGATCATGTGTAAACTATGGTGCTTAGAGGCAGACAACTGGTCTGTGAAGTTTCCCTGATCCCTTTGTCCCTCATGATTCTGTGAACAAAACATATGAAGTCACTCAGCTCCAAGACAATAATTCTAGACATTTCTAACCTGGTTTCACAAAGGACTAAATAGAAGTTCATCATTCAGTCTTTGGGTCAAAACTAGTATCAGTCAACATAAGTAAAAACTACCCCTTGACCTCTTCCACGTGTCCTTTAATACATGGGTGGGGCAAAGAACATGAAGCCTACCATATACACACCCATCAGTCCCAAAGAAAATAAAGCTGGCAGCCTTGGGAATTTGAGCGATATTGTTGACATCACATGTTTTCATCAGTTGGTCTGGTATGGGCATTCCTAGTCAAGAGTCAGTGGCTGTTGGAATCTATATATCTAATAGCGAAGGCGCCCCCCGTGTGCGGATATCTAAATTCGCACATCGGGGGCACCTGGGGGGCAGGGAGATTTTCCTGCACACTTGGGACAGTCCCCAGGTGTGCACAAAAATCTAAAAAGTAGAAAAAATATAGGGGGGATATTTAAATCCCCCAAAAAGTAAAAGAGCCT